GGGTCCCGGCCATCCCCATCCCCATCCCTGTCCCCATTCCCATCCCTGGCAGTTCCCAGCTGGGGGACCCTGACTCACTGCCTCACTCAGATCTCCTGCAGGAAGTCCACAGGGAAGAGCCCCACTTTTCGGCCAGTGTAGACTTTCACGTAACCATTCACCTCCTCACCTTTCTGCACCACGATCTGGGGGTGAGAAGGGTACAGGTGAGATTATTGGGGCCCTACAGAGCAGGGGAAGGCAGGAAACCCCAGGCAGGGTAAGGGGGCTGGGCAGAGCAGGTCTCATCCAAGGGGCTGGGGGAGGTGGGCCATATGAGGCTAGTAATGTGGGCCAGGGCAGAGAGCCGCTGTGGTAGCCATGAGGACTGGCTGCCTGGCAGAAGGCTGGGACAGAGCTGCAGACAGGGGGTTGGAGGACCACCGGCTGGTCCTGTCTCACCTGATCCTTCTTGAGTGTGATCTGCCCAATCTCCCGGTTGCCCACAAAGGAGCGTGTCACCTTGTGCACGCGCTCGCCTGCCCGCACCCGGATGATGAAGTTTGGAGGGAAGTAGCCAATTTTTTCACCAATCTTCCCCTGAAAGAAGCCAGTGGATGGGTGCCAGGTGAGAGTTGGAGCCAATCTGTATAACACCCAGATTGTCCTATCACAAACAGCCTGCAAATTTTGGGTTGACATGAGGACACAGCAGATTTAGGGACCTGTGTCCCCAAGAGAGTGCAATCTGCACTCCTAGCTGACCTCTCCCTTTGCTTTCAGCTCGCCATCTTTCCCCTCTGTGCTTGCAGGACACCAGCCTTACCCGCCACCACTCCTCATTGGAGTCATCGACCACTGTGATCTTCTCCCCTGGTCTGTGAAGGGAAGGAAGGGCTCAATGTCAGGGGGGCAGAGACCCTTCACCCTGAGACACCTAAAATTTGCAATGAAAATTGCTCTTCCCACAGCACCAGCTCCTAGAGCACTATGTCGGAGGTTGAGGAATGCACACAGCCCATGGGCTAAGGGACAGGCAGGTCCTGTACATAAGCAGCTCAGCCTCAAGCCTGGGATGCAAGAAATCAGTGGAACCATATCAAGACAAACATCAGCAGCCTTGAACATGAGGCCAAAGCCTGGGAGCTGGGAGAGCAAGGCCCCTGCTCAATGTGTAGTGCATTGGGGCAGGCAGAAAAGCCACAAAACCAAAACCACAGGCAGCAGGGCTCTAATTTCTGCCCACATTCATTCACAGACCTCTCCTGGCAATGAAAACCTCACTGTTGAGGTGAAGACTTCTCCCCCTCCCCACTAGACTTGTCCCATCCTTCCCCTCATCACTCCTGTGCCCACTACATGGCTGGGAACTTACGGGAAATCCAAGTCATCTTTCTCCAGGGCTTTGAAGCGATAAAGTGCCACAAAATAGTGAGACTGTGGATAGCCACCACGAGTTCCTGGCTGTGGCTTCTTGTTCTAGAGGAGGAGGAAAGAGGGGTTTGGGGCCCTAGAGAGACTGAGGATAGCTCCAGGGAGCCCAGCAGGGAGATCCCTGCAGCCCATGCTGCTCCAAGGCTGTTGGCCTTTGAGGAATAGGGTGAGAAAGATGCCTACCTTGTCATCTGTTGGACTCTTCTCAGTCTTCTTGTTCCCTTCAGAGGTGCCTGGAAATGTGTGTGGGGGGGAGGGGTTACATCTCTCCTGGTACTGTCTCTCTGCCCAGGACCAGTCTCCTCCCAGGGATCTCCTGTGCCCAGGTCAAAGAGGGGAAGCAGAGAGAGTCCCAGGGTGGAGAGCTAACTAAAGACCCCCTTTCGGCACCTTGGGAGGTCCCCCAAGTACAGTCTCCCCAGCAGGCACCCTCCCTGCCCCATGCTTCTGGCTGGAGATCAGCCCCCCTCCAGTTCCTTGGCCATCATGTGCAGTCAGTCTTGCCAGTCTCAGCACTCACCACGCTCAGTTTTGCCCTCTTCTGGCTTTGTGGCTTCTGATTCCTCATCCATCATAGCAGCCAAAGGCTGCAAGGCAAAGAGCTGTCAGGGAGTGCAGAGCAGGCAGGGAGGTGGGGGTGGCAATGGGGTGCAGGCTGTGGTGCCAGGACCCTTGGGCATTTGGACCACTAGGCCAACCCTGCACTCACATTTTTCTTGTCATCCTGCCCTTTCTTGCGCTCCTTGTTGGCCATAATGACACCCGTCCGAAGGGTCTCAAACACTGGGTCGCTCCCGTTGGCTGCTGCTGGGGCACAGGGATAGTGAAAGGGGTTCAGCTAAAGGATGCACCCTGATGTGGGGACACTACTTACCAAGTGGCTCCTTGACGCAGGTGTTTTGCTGGTCACTATAGAGGGGTGAGCTGTACGCCCGGCGAAACCCTGGGGGCTGGAAAGTAAAAGGAAAGAGGGGTCAGAGCATCAATCACCACCCAGATCTGTGGACCCTTCCATGAAAGCTGAGTGGGGGAGCAGGTGGATGCTAAGGAACTCAGATGTGACCAACCAGCAGGGGTGGTTGATGCCTGGGCAGAGGCAAGTCATGGTGCCTGGGTCTTGGTCACAGAGACCGAGCTGGCTGCTCCCTCCCGTGGTGTTTTGATTTTCCCTGTGAGGAGGTACCCCAAGCTCAGAGCTGGTGGAAACACTCACAATTTTGCCGAAGCAGCGCTGCATCTCCACATAGGACTGGCAGTGGTGGTGGATGTTGGTTTTGCAGTTCTTGCATCTCAGGCCAAATTTGTTGTTGACTGGTGGTGGGGGTGGGCAGAGGGGTGGAAAGGAGAGGCAATGTGACACTGCAGCTGTGGAGATGGCTGGGCTGGAGCCCTGGCCAGCCTTGGCCCCCAGCCCTTGCCCTGACCATGGCCCCCAGCCCCAGCACCCTCAAGACTCACGGACAATCATGCGGGCACAAACATCGCAGAACTTGGGCTTTTTGAAGTAATGATCTTTGAACTTGTGGGGTTTGTCATTTACAAGTTTCTGCGGCTCAGGAGGGGGCTCAGGCTCCTCCTCCTCTTCATCCTCTTCCTCCTCCTCATAGATGTAGTAGATGGGTCCCCCTGAAGGGCTGACCAGTTCCCCATTGGGCTGTGGCTCTGGCATAGTCTCCTCCTTGGGCTTTCGCTGGAAAAGTTGCTTCAGCTTCTGTATCTGCTGGGGCAGGAGAGGATGCGTTGCACACTGCAGGTGCATCAGGGGAGGCAGGCAGGGAAGCTGGTGCCTGGCTCCCCACAACTTTGCTCTGACCTAGAGACTCCTTGCATCTCCACATAGGACTGGCAGTGGTGGTGGATGTTGGTTTTGCAGTTCTTGCATCTCAGGCCAAATTTGTTGTTGACTGGTGGTGGGGGTGGGCAGAGGGGTGGAAAGGAGAGGCAATGTGACACTGCAGCTGTGGAGATGGCTGGGCTGGAGCCCTGGCCAGCCTTGGCCCCCAGCCCTTGCCCTGACCATGGCCCCCAGCCCCAGCACCCTCAAGACTCACGGACAATCATGCGGGCACAAACATCGCAGAACTTGGGCTTTTTGAAGTAATGATCTTTGAACTTGTGGGGTTTGTCATTTACAAGTTTCTGCGGCTCAGGAGGGGGCTCAGGCTCCTCCTCCTCTTCATCCTCTTCCTCCTCCTCATAGATGTAGTAGATGGGTCCCCCTGAAGGGCTGACCAGTTCCCCATTGGGCTGTGGCTCTGGCATAGTCTCCTCCTTGGGCTTTCGCTGGAAAAGTTGCTTCAGCTTCTGTATCTGCTGGGGCAGGAGAGGATGCGTTGCACACTGCAGGTGCATCAGGGGAGGCAGGCAGGGAAGCTGGTGCCTGGCTCCCCACAACTTTGCTCTGACCTAGAGACTCCTCCTTCCACAAGTGGGAGGAGATCCCAGGGATCCTGGGGCAGAAATGCTGCAAGGACAGGGACCCTTCACCTGGACCCATAAGATCCCCATGAAAGGAGGAACTGTGACTCCCAAACACCATGTAAATGTGGGCACTCTGGGGAAGAGTCAAGCTGAGAAATGCCTACCTAGTGCCCAGCTGGGTCAGGATCCCATGAGGCATTCTTGGCCTCACACATGCTCCTGGGGCTGAGGCAGAGATGATGCTAGAAAGGTGGCTTCCCACTCAAGGTGCCCTGTGGGCACCCACTTACCCGGCTCTTGGGTTTCCCAGCTGAAGCAGGTGTAGCTGGTGGCTCTGGCACTTCCTTCTCTGTCATGCTATGAGGGGAAAAGAGAGAGACATCATGTTGGCTAGGGCTGTTCCCACTGCAGGTATCCAGTGAGGGCAGAACTGGCCAGACCTTGCTGGGTGGGAAGTATCTCCCTAGCCAGTGCCTCCTTCTGCCCCTGCAGCATCACCTCCTGCCACTGTACCTGCAGCTCCTGCCCCAACAAGGGCCAGCTCTGATGTGGGTGAGCCTCAGGGCCCCCGGATATCTGCTGGGCCCTGATGCGCAGGCTGGAGGACAGCAGGCTCCCAGCCCAGCGTGCACAGCACTGCTATTTGCTTGGTGGACATGGTGCCAAGTGCTGTGAGCCAGTCTCTGGGCTTATCTGCCCATGTCCACCTCTGCCTAGACATCTCCATATCACAATTAAACTGCAAATGGTGCCACTTTTGCCCCTGAGGACAAGCATGCCTATGATGCTGTTTGGCATGACTGCACAGCCCTGCTTTCGTCTCCACAGAAGCACCAAGCAACTATGGAGGCAGAATCTGCTCCTGCATCCCCCCAAACATCTCTGATTTCATCTTTGACTGTCAACCATCCCCACAGTCCTTCTACTTGGACATCACAATTTTTGGTGATACCTAACACAAGCCCCCACTCCCCTCCCCAAGCCCCATGGAAATCAACCAGTATGATCATCAGGGAAACAGTGATGGGGACTGGAGAGTCCTGGGGAAAGGGGTGCTGGAGCAGCAAAGAGCCCTGGAGTCTCCCAACAGTGTGGGTGGAACAGGGGCCCACGAGGCTGTGGCTACGATAAGGGAGAGCCGCGCATGGAAACACACTCACGCTGTGTTTGGAGCTCCTGTCCTGCGATGTAAAACCCCACAAAAGGTGGCCGATGTTGGGACCTTGCTGGCCGTGCAGCCCCCAGCCCTC